AAAAAAAAAAAAAAAAAGCTAAAATTTGATATCTTCCATGTGTCACCTATCTAGGTTATAGGCGTATTGCAGATTACAACATGTGGTTTGTTGGTTGAGGTTTTTAACTGATGGAAAACCTTGAGGTCAAAGCATGAGCTTATCTTTCATCTATTTGTCTCTAACTACTGTACCCGATGATAAACTGAAACAGTAAAGAAGGTCAGGAGTTTGTTTTTGTTTTGCTGTTCTTGGGTAATTGGATAAATAATGTATTACCCACAGCTTTAATAACTATGTTAGAATTTTGTAAGGTAGGTACAAGATGACAAATGAGTTATTCTACACCAGGGATTAGCAATCTGTAGCCTGCAGGCTGGATCTGGCCAATGGATGTGGGGGTTAAGTGGTGTTCTGTGTTGGTGGGGGTGGGCTCTGACAGTTGGTTTTCCTATGTCTCTTATGGCGAAAGCAGTAGTACGGGCTGGGTCCTAGTGCCCACCTATCCAGTCTCAACTATGTCAATCCAGTCTGCTCCAACATGTAGGGGAGTTCTTAGCCCTTTATTTTGGCAGGCACAGGGGGTGTATCTCCATACTTGACTACAATCTTTATCTGGCAGTGCATAGTGGGTGCATGGGGGTATACATGCACCCTCTGACACCCAGCATTCCCATGTGGGGGGGGCAGGTGAGAGCGCTGGTACCCCCTGACAGCACCGGCCAGGGAGTAGGGGCACCAGGAGAAGTGATCCCTGTGGCTGATCGTGCCAACCCAGAAGTACTAATGGCAAGCCCAGGTGGGTGTGATTTGGCCATGGGGGGACCCCCCTCCCACAGGTTGCTCACTAGCTGCTGGCGGGGGGGCAGGTGCCAGTCACTTATGGTCTGCATCGTTTCCTAAACTAAAATGTGAATATGTAAGTGTGCTGAAATTGTGAAGCTGACTAAAATACTGGTAGTGTCATTAGATAGTACTCTGGGCATGTCTACATGAGATGCTTAATGCACAGAAGATTAAATCTGTGCATTAGCATGGCTTTTGCCGGCTGCAGTAATGTGCAGTAGACTGGGTCTAAGGTGCGTTAATGTCACTTAAAAAGCATTTATCTGCAGTAATGTACAGTAGTGCTGACTTACAGTGCATTAAGTTGGTATCTGTTATAACGGGTATTAAACTTGATGCACTGTAATTACGGTGAATATTGAACATGTAGATATGCTCTCTGATTATTTTGAAATCATCCTTTCAGATGTACATTTTTTTTCCCTTTGGCAGCTGTGGCAAGCCCTCTCTTATGGCAGAAAGATTGTGTGAAAGGTCCTGAGGTATGGTGTCAGAATCTGCGGACTGCATCGCAGTGTGGAGCTCTGAAACACTGTCAGCAAACTGTTTGGAATAAACCTACAGTGGTAAGTGTTGCCAAAGCTTTTCTTCTACAGTTAGATCAATTTGTATTTCCATTTTGTTTCTAACTATCCATAAAGCTTCTACTGGATTCAGTGATGAAAGTAGCTTTTGAATTCGTTCTATAAATACTAGTGAAGGGGTGGGCAAAATATAGCCTGTGGGCCAGATCCAGCCTGCCAGGCCATTCTAGCCACTGTATTCTGCAGTCCTAACCACACAGCCCAGAACTGTGCACTGCCAGTGGTGGGGGAGCGAGCAGTGGTAGCGGGCATGGCAGCAGGTGTGGGGAGGAGTGGCAGTGGGTGGGTGAGTGGCAGCACAGTGCCCTGGGGCCAGGGCCAGTGGCAGCAGGGGTCAGCTGGGAACTGCGTGGGCTGGGCTGGCTCTTTCTGTGTTCTGCAGTCCTGGCCATGAAGCCAGGAACTGTAGTACACTGCTGGAGCAGGAGGAAAGCAGCAGAGGAAGGGCACTGGGGGGCGGGGGGGGTCTGACTCTGCATGTGGTTATCATCCTACTGTGCCAAATCGGGCCATGGCCCATCAGTCCACAGGCTCCATCTAGCATACAGGGCTGAAGCAGGCTCAAGAACAGCTGATGATACTTGGATCAGCAAGGTGACATCTTTTTTTTCCCCCCCCTTTTGTGCAACCTTTAAAAACAGGGTTATTGTAGAACTGTGAATAATTTTGAGGGGAAAAATTTCAAAGTCCATTTTTCCAGGTGCCTGTTAATTCTTGTGGAGTAGGATGGGAATCACACTTGTATAGTACTGCAGCACGTTGGAAAGAAAGTGAGAAGCAGCTCAGCCTGGGAGCAAAATAGCATGTGGGGAATGATTGACAAGCAGGGTGGCAAGATCTGGCCTTAGAGTAAAAGCAGCATGTGGGGAAGGGAGTGATATCCTTATGCAAGAAGACCCAGTGAGGGTCCTCATTTACTCTTAAGATCTTTTTCTTCCACACAGCAAATAAGGCGTACATTTTATGCACAGTTTTTGTAGTTTAATGTATTTAGTTTTTCACACAACTGGGATTTCTCACTTGTTTTTTCTTCATGATGTCTTATGAAACTTTTTCCCCCCCTGTGAGCTTCCATAGATATTGGCCCATGGAATATCTAACATAGGTGTGTTAGGTGTTGTATTCAGATTCTGCTTCCTGAAGATGATGGAACATTCTTAACTTCTATTAACTTCAAAGAAACTAGCATGCACAATTGGGGAGCTAATGGATAAACAGCTCCTGTTGTGTCAGCTACGCTAGATTTTCTGTATCTGTCTTCAATCACAAGAACATATTATTCCTGCCCCCTGTTTTGATGCACAGGGTGAGGAGGTTTCAAGAGCTTTTTCCATTCCTTGTCTATTTTCATCACTCACACAAACTACTTTTTGAAATCTAGAGACTGATCTCTGATATTTCCTTCAAAAGAGGTAGAGGAAAGTAGGGCAATGACTGGCTAAGAAGGAAGCACAGCTATTACATGCTTAACTTTTTAGATACTTAATTACAGCATGGGCCCTGTGTACCAAGAAGCTTTAGGAGTCCTTTTTTAAATCCAGTTTGTGACTGCCCCTGTGGTGATCTGCATGAGGCTGATCCCCACCCACTCCTGCCTGGGGTAGCTTGCATCATGCTCCCACCTGTACCTGCCCTTCATCCACCAAAATCACCATCCCATCCCCAGCACTGGCCAGCATGCACAGCTTCCTAGCAGGGCTGCCTTCCACACTGTTGCCCACAGGTGGTTGTTCATCATGCCAGGTGGGCGGAGTGGGTGGAAGGCAGCTGGAGCTGGATGCCCATGTGCTGGGCCTGGAGCCACCCAGCTGCAGCTTCCACCCTTCCTCCCCAGCTGGCTGGGCATGTGCCTGGCGTGCACCTCCATGGCTGCTGCCTCCCTGTGTTACCTGCAGCCCAGAACAGCACAGCAGGAGAAGGAGGAGGAACCACTGGAGGTGGGGGGAGCTGAGCAGTATCCAGGTGGTTGCAGCAGCAGGAGCAGCCCTGCTGGCAAGCAGTGCATGGTGGCTGGGGCCGGGCTGGTGCTGTTGGGTGTGGGGTGGATATAGGTGGGAGTGGGTGGGCCTCAGCCACATGCAGTGTGTCATGGGGGTAGCTGCAGGCTGGATGGGTGGGCAGGCCACACCTGCACCTGCAGCACTGCAAGGGTGAACTCTGCTGCATGCACCCCAGCCCCCAGCTGGCTCCTCAGACCTCACATGTGGGGAAGCGCGCCCCCCCCCCCCC